GCGAGGTGCTGTCGAAGGCCAGCATGGTTGCACGCGGGTCACCCAAACCCAGGGTCAACTCTGATGTGCCCATTTCATTCTTGATCTCCAGAGGACTGAGAAGGATGTTTTCATGGGGGTCCATCTAAGACATAAAGACCCATCAGTAGGTTAGCACTGATAACAGGCTTTTTATGTACCGTTGATGATTTCAGTAGTCAGAACAATCACAGATTATTTGCTTTTGTTTGCTTTTTATTTATTTTTTGTTACCACACAACCAATATATGGAAGCTTGTTTCTACCACTGAATAAAAAAAAGTAAGAAATGTAAGTGCAATTTTTTAATCGCACAATTCTGACTTTTTTTCGAACAATTCCAAGTTTTTTTCTCAGAATTATATATGATATACACTCAATTTGCGAGAAATGCCGTCAGAATTGCAAAATATCAACTCGTAATTCTGACTTCTTTTCTCAGAATTATGAAAAATAAACTCACAAAGTCCAATTCTGAGCAAAAAATTTAAAAAAATACTATTTTCTTAGAATTGGAAGTTTATGTATCACAATTATGACCTTATAATACACAATTTATATCAAAAAGTTCTGACTTTTTTCACAACTGTGAGCTTACATCTCACAATTCGAACTTTTTTCTCAGATTTGCATGATGTAAACTCGCAATTCTGACTTTTTTCTTGCAATTCTGACTTTTATCAAAATTGTGAGATATAAACTTGCAATTGTGAGTTATAAAGAGCAATTCTGAGGGAAAAGAGACTATTTTCTTACTATTGCGTGTTTACACATCACACATTTCTGACTTTATTTCTCAGAATTGTGTTTATATCTAGCAATTCTGACTTTATAACTTACAGTTGTGAGTTTATATTATAAAAAGTCAGAATTGTGAGCTAAAAAGTTGCAATTAACTTGTTTTGATTTTTTATTCAGTGGTGAAAACAAGCATACGTACAAATAAAATGAGTCACATATATAACAACATAATCAAATGCTCACTTAAATATTGCTTTTGAAGAACTATAATTTAAACACAGTATTTAACACATATTGAGACAAACCAACAAAGTGCCAATAACACAGTCTGATGGAAATGGCTTGGAGCACATGGAGATGTAAAGCAAAGTAAGGTAAGGCATGGTGGTACACATGATGGTATTTATGCTATTTATTGCTACAAAATTATAACCTTTTCATGAGAAATAATAGTGCATCCTCTTAGATGCTGAACCAAAATGTAGAAAAATCTAACAAACAAACAAAAAAGTTTGCCTTTTCCTTTCTGAATAGTGCTTTCAATAGTATTTGTTTAATAGTATTTAAAATAAAAATATTTCAAAAGAGTGGTTTGGAGGGAAAAGAGAGGTGATGATGGCAATGGAGGAAAAAAATAGGTTGTGCCCTTAAAGGAATAATTCAAAGAAAAAACAATATTCTGTCTACTAATAGCGACTACTAGACCACTGGCGACCTTCCCTTAAGAAGAAAGTCACTAGACAACATGAGAGCGTTAAAATGATGACAGAATTTTTTACTTGGGTCAACAATACTTTTAAGAGGAAATAAGGAATCGCAAAAAAAAAAAAAAA